GTCCAAACAACCTGCCACCACACTATTCCCCAAGCTCGGGGGGCCAGCTGCCTTAATGGGGTGTTGTTGGTAAGGTGGGAGGCCATGATACCTGGGGCCGAGGTGTCTTCCTGAGCCGGGCCTCCCGGGCCTTGCAAATGTCCTCCTCACTCAGGCCTCGGCCAGACCCACCCTGATGAAGCTTTTGGGCCCAAGAACCCTTACACGGCCCCTACAAGAGATGTGGACATTGGTAAGGAGTGGAAGACAAGGAGCAGAGGGGTCTGCCTGGCCCTCTGGATTCCTCCCTATCCCTTTACTTACTGCCGATTCCCTCGGGCTCTTCACCTTGGAGACCCCTCCCCAGTATCTTACCCACCAGCGGGGCCCAGGCCCCAGGGCCCCATAAGGCAGACCACCAGTCCGGCCCAGCTGTCCACAGGTCCCCCGCAGGAGGCCCCCCACCTCCAGCCACATCGCCTGGGGGAGAAGAGGAGGAATTACTTGGGCAGGAGTTGTGGGCCGACCTCCCGCTTCGCTCCACCCACCCCAAGCCCCACAGTCCTCGTGTGGGCCCTGACTCCCACCCAGCAGACTTCCTCCCCTGATAAGGGCCCCTCCAGTTTCTCCTGGTTCCCTCTGGTTGCTAGGCACCCATAGCTGTTCCTGCTTTCCTACCAAAGCTCACTTTCCCTGTCCCACTTCGCCGCCGTTGCTAGGGTCCGCTCTCATTGCCAGACACCCACAGATCCTCCAGGCTACCTCTCCCTTCTCTGAGGCCCCCTCGTCGCCAGGCACCGCCTTCACCTCTGTTGCTAGGCACCCACAATCCTCCCCCACCCCCCGAGTACCCACTACCCCGTTATTGGGCACCTCCCCCGGTTGCTAAGCACCCACAGCTCGGGGCTCCGGGTCCGTAATGCGCGGGGGCCTCTAGCACTTCCGGAAGCCTCCACACGCCCGCCCTCTCCGGTCGGCTAACCAATGGCGGAGCAGCAGGTCGCTGACTGGCACAAAGAACTCCTCGCTATGCGTAGGGGCGGGGCCGGGGCGGAGCCGTTGGGGAGGTTGGGGGATTGCGCGTGGCAAAGCCGGGAGCACACACGTGCGCTTTTCAAAGTGCCCGGTGTGCGGCGGCCCTTTCAGTTCCGTACCCCGTCTTCTTTGCAAACATCCCTCTCCCTAACAAACTTCACACCTCTCCTCTGCACGAACACCTTGCGAATCTCATTTCTACCTCCAGCATGTTCAACATCTCTCCTTTGAACACGTCTTCCCCGCAAACATTTTCCTTGTACGTGGAGCCCATCCACTTTGCACATCCACCCTCTGCTTCAAGCATTCACATCCTGGCACCCAGCCTCCTCCTCTGCACATATAAACCCCCTTCTTTACTTGGCACTTGTCTCCCTCAGCTCTCACCCCTGTTCATAAACCCCTCACACTCAGCTCCTGGCACACTGGCCCGTGTCCTCATATTCCCTGCTCTCCCTGCTCCCCGCCCACCTGCAGGATGGCCTGAGTGAGCCCCCTCTGTTTCCCGTAGGCCTGACATTTCCCAGAACGCACTCAGCCCAAATTCCCAGTGCTGAGTCAGGAGACTTGGCATTCCAGAAAACCAGCTCCCATCCCATCTGGGTGTGTGTCTTGGGTGGGGGTGTGTAGGCCGGCTTAAAGCCTGCTCCCCCCACAACAGGCTGACTCACCCCTCTTCTCACAGTCTGGAATAGAAGCAGCTGGCTGGGTCCTCTCTTCCGCTGCTGGGAGGACATATGACGCTTCCCCACAGAACCCTTGCCCCTGTCTAACCCTTCTGTCGGGAATCAGATATTCCTGTCTGTCCCTGTGCTCTGTGACCTCAGAAGAGCCTTGACCCTTTCTGGACTTCCTTCCCAGCCTGTATGATGTGTGAGGGGGTCTCTGCGATGACTTGTCATTGGTCCGTGAAGAGATGACTCATTTTAGATTCCTGGGCCTGGGCCCAATGCCCCTCCCACAGGTGACTCAATTTCAAGACAAACCATCTCCTGCCCCCTCCAGACCTAAGGGTCTGACTCAGGAGCTGGGTGACAGTTCACTCTTGAAGGGAAAAATATATAAAAGTACCTATGACAATAACTAATTCACATGGCTTATATGCACGAGGTCATATAAACAAAGGCTAGGGGGTAGCAGATCTCTGAACCTCAGGGTCCCCATCTGTAAAATGGGGCTGTGTCAGCACCTCTTGCTCAGTGTTAGTGAGAGAGATGCAGTGAAATAGTGTCCATAAAGAGCAGAGGGCCCTGCCCTGGCCAGCGTGGCTCAGTTGGTTGAGCGCCATTCAAATGACCAAAAGGTCACTGGTTCTATTTGGTCAGGGTACATGTTCAGGTTTTGGCCTCAATCCCCCATTAGGGGGTGCACAGGAGGCAGCTTATCCATGTTTCTCTCTCTCTCCCTTTCTCCTCCTCTCTTTCTAAAATCAATAAAAACAGCCCTAGCTGGTTTGGTCCAGTGGATAGAGCATTGGCTTGTGGACCAAAGGGTCCCGGGTTTGATTCCAGTCAAGGGCACGTACCTCCCTGGCTAGGGCCCTGGTTGGGGCTTGTGCAGGAGGCAATCGATGTGTCTCTCTCACATCGATATTTCTCTCTGTCTTTCCCTCTCTCTAAACATCAATGGAAAAATATGAGTGAGGATTAAAATCAATAAAAACATATTTAAACAAGAGAGAGAGAGAGAGAGAGAGAGAGAGAGAGAAATGGTCTGGTACAGAATGAGAATCTATAAACAAGAGAAATTTCTTATGGAGAAATTATTTTCAAATTTCTATTAAGCACCTATATGTGCTTTTCTAGGCACTGGGGACATAGCAAGGAACAAAACAAGCAAAAATCTTTGTCCTCTTGGTCCTGGCTTCTGGCAAGGGGCACAATCCTATTCTATATAATAAAAGCCCAGAATGACCTGTCAACCAGTAGCTATGATATGCACTGACCAACAGGGGGCAGACGCTCAATGCAGGAGCTGCCCCCTGGTGGTCAGTGCTCTCTCATAGCTTGGCTGAGCGGGATGAGGAGTGTTCCCACAGTGGGTGGATCCCCGCAGGCCACGCCCCCCACCCCCTGCACAATCCCCTGCACCGGGCCTCTAGTAAACAAATAAGTACAGACATACCTTGTTTTATTGTGCTTTGCTTTATTGTTCATTGATGATATTGCGTTTTTTCTTTTCTTTTTTATATTTTTATTGATTTTATAGAAAGAGGAAGGAAGATGGAGAGAGAGAGAAACATCAACTGGCTGTCTCCTGCATGCCCCCTACTGGGGATCGAGCCTACAACCCCAGGCATGCACTCTGACTGGGAAATCGGACCAGCAATCTCTTGATGAACAGGATGTTGTCCAACCAATTGAGCCATACCATTCGGGGCAATAAAGTATTTTTTAATTAGGGTATGTACATTGTTTTTTTTTAAGCATAATGCTATCGTACACTTAATAGACTACAATATACTGTAAACATAACTTTTACATGCATTGGGAAACCAAAAAATTCCTTGACTTACTTTATTGCCATATTCACTTCATTGTGGTGGTCTGGAATCAAACCTACAATATCTCTGTGGTATGCCTGTATGCTTAATAAGGTGACATGTGTTAAAGAGAAAAATAAACCTGAGAAGGGGGTCAAGAAGAGGAAGGAGGAATGTAAGATTAAATAGGATGTTCAGAGAAGGCCTCGCTGAGGGGGTGACATTGAAATGAAGACTTGAAGGAGGCGAGGGAGGGAACTGTTCCCGAGGGAAGGGTGTTCCAGGCAGAAGGATCAACCAGTGCAAAAGCCCTGTGGTGGAAGATGTCTCGGAGAAATAGCGAAGGCCAACAGGCAGATTAAGGGAAAAGAGAGGAGATTTGGTTTGGGAGATAACTGGAGCCAGATCATGTACAATATATGAGTCATGAGGAGGACTGTGGCTTTTACCCTGAGTGGGATGGGAAGCATGGAGTGTTCTGAACAGAGAAGGGTTATGATCTGATTTAGAGAAAATACTCTTACTTCCAGCTCCTCCTCCAACGCCCCAGCCTCAAAAGCAAGTTATATCACCCAGTAGGGAACAAAAGCTCAGACTTTGGATTAGGTTGGCCTAGGTTCAAATATACACAATTTAGATATGTGATCTTGGATTTTGCCTTTCTGTGCCTCTGTTTCCCTGACCATGGATGATGGTAATCCCTACCTCAAAAGGTATGGGGTATAAAGTGGTAAGTACAGTGTATGGCACAAAGCAAGTACACAAATGTATATGTTGCTGTAAATAAATAAAAATTCCCATAACCCGGTGAGGAAATTATCATTGCTATCCCCTTTTTACAGATGAGGAAACTGAGGCTAGAGGAAACAAGTCTGTTGGAGCCAGGATTTGGCTCGATCTCCCAGCTTCAGAGTTAAGGTCGTTGCTTTGTCCCTCCTCTAACCTCCCTTTGACCTTAGACAAATTCTTTCACTATTCTGGGCCTCAATTTCCCTGTTGGTAACGTGCTTGGCTTTTGTGGCATTGAACACATTTTTCGAAACAATCAAATAATATTATGTATCCTCATTTTACAGGTGACAAAACGAGCCCGGGTAGGGAGCGTAAGTCACTCGTTCAAGGTAACACAGCTGGGAATTGGCAGAGGTGGGTCTCGAACTCACACCTCCCTGGGATCCCCAAGTCTCTGGAATGCAGGCCCTGCGTGCGTGAAGGAGCACGCTGCTGGACTCGTCCCCGAGAGCTATAGGCGGCTTAACTGGCCACTTAAAGTGTAGGGGGGTTAGATTAGTCGCGGGGTCCTAGGGAGGGGCCCCACTGCCCTGCAAGCAGGACCTCAGGGGGCCTACACTTTACCGGGACGAGCTTGCGGCGCTGGGAATCCACCCGTCCAGGGGAGGAGGGCGGGGACAGGCGAGGCCCCGCCCCCCTACGCCACGTCCGGTGGGCGGGGCCGCGGGCTTCCCCGGAGGCGGAGTATCGGTTAACCACTGTGTGGACTGGAGATCCGCGGGCCGGAACCGCGAGTCGGGGCTCCCCCGCCACACCCCTCTTGGGATTTAAAGGGCCAGGAGGGACTGGGTTGGGCCGAAGTCCGAACTAAGGGAGCGGGCATGAGACGCTGCCCGTGCCGGGGGGGTCTGAACGAGGCAGAGCCCGGGGCGCTGCCGGCAGCGGCCCGCATGGGGCTGGAGGCGCCGCGAGGGGGGCGGCGGCGGCAGCCCGGGCAGCAGCGACTTGGGCCCGGCGCCGGGGGCCCGGCGGGGCGGCCGGAGGGGGGCGGGCCCCGGGTCCGGACCACGGGGTCCTGCCTCCACTCTGAATGCGAGAAGGCCAGCCTCGGGCCTGAATGGGGGACAGACAGACAGACTGAGCCTGAAGCAGCCGGCCTCGGAGCGGAGACAGAGCGGCCGAGTCCAAAGACGGAGCCAGACAGGTCCAGCCCTCGGACACATCCAGAAAGGAGCAGCCACTGGTCAGAGCTGGAGACACCCGGCCCCTGGACGGAGGAGCCTGGCACAGGTGGATTTTGCACTGACCCACGCAGGCCCGGCCTCCAGTCTCGGCCACAGAGGGCCAGACTCTGGACACAGCCAAGCTTTGATGGGGCCTGGACAGAGTCAGAAATACATGGCCCACAGACCCAGCCCGAGAGGTCCAAGCCCTGGACGGACAACCCCCGGACCCACCAGAAGAGCTCCAGCCTTCAGACGCAGCCGGAGGGGGCCTGGCGGGAACTATGCATGGATGGCTCCAGGACACAACAGGACCCTGAAGGCCCCTGGACAGCCTCTCACACAGATGGCTCCCAGATACAACAGGATACCGAAACCGCCTGGAGACAGGTTGGCACCCACGGTTTCCCAACACAGCAAGCTGCTGACGGCTCCTGGACACAGCCAGGCGCTGATGATGCACAGACACAAGATACTCATGGACCCCAGACAGAGCCTGGGACAGACTACTTTTTGGGGGAGCCCAACCAAGATGGCCCATTAGCGGAACCAGAACCTGGGCAGTTGCTGACTCACCTGTACTCTCACCTGGGGTATAACTCCCTGACCCCAGTGCCCCGCCTCATCATCACTCCTGAAACCCCTGAGCCTGAGGCTCAGCCAGTGGGACTCCCGTCCCAGGTTGAAGTGGGCAGTGGAGGCTTCTCCTCCGCCTCCTCTTTCGACGAGTCTGAGGATGACGTGGTGGCCGGGGGTGGAGGTGCCAGCGACACTGAGGACAGGTCTGGGGTGAGTGGGACCCATCCTGCCCTTAAGCCACATCCCTCCAAATCCCTTATTCCCCTGCCTTTGCTTTGAGAAGTTCTCTAGCACCTATCAGCAATTTCATCCCCAGATACTTCTTCCATCCATTTACCCTCTCCCTCTGACAGCTGGGTTACTAACCCTCTGCAGGGACCCGAAATCCTAATCCTCTCATCCTCTCACCCTCTCACCCTCTCACCCACTGTCTCCCCTTCCCCCTTCATCCACTGCCTACAGCCCTGAAGTCTGAAATGGACAGCCAGTGGCTGACTTATGCCCAGGAATCATATGATGGTGTGAGTCTGTGTGTGTATGCACATTTTTCAGCAACGGTCCATGACTTCTGTTGGATCCTCTGATCTGTGATGTGTGACCCCAAAATCTGAACAGCAATAGTATAGGGGGACAAAAGGTGTACTTTCTACCCCACATTTCTTAGTCTGCGGCCTGTGGCTGTCTTAAGGTGTCCTGAAACTTTACCACCCTTAGCTCATTCACTTTTATAGGGAGTGAGCCCCCACCCAGCTTTTATTAGATTCTCAAAGGGCTGTGTAAACCCAAAATGCCCAGGGACACCCCCCCAACCTAGCCAGGGACCTTTTAGTCTCCCCATTGTCCCCCAGCTTCCCAGGGGGCCCCTGGCAGATTCTTGTTTACATCCTCCACCCTCACCCCCAGCTTGGGTGCGGCTCTCTGCTGATGAATCAGGAGGGCTGACAGGGCAGGTTCAGGAGAGTCAGCAAAGAGTCAGGTGTGCGAGCCTCCCATGGGTCCGCCCACTTGGAAGTCCCATTGTTCTGGGGCCCATGGCTGGAGTCCACCCTCACCCCCCTCACCCCACATGCCTCCCTGAAGTACGTGCTCACACATGTGGCCACAGATGTGAAAGACAGACCTGCCTCAGCCTGCCTCTGCCAGAGCAAAGGAGTTGACCCATGGGCTGTTTGCCATTGCTGTTCCCTCTGCCTACTCTCACCTCTGGCATCTTAGAACAGCTGAGCTGGAAGAGGGTGAAAAAAACCCATTCATGCCCAGCCCTATGGTAAGCTTCTTGCTCGTATTAACTCATTTAATTCTCATACAGCAGCCCTAGGAGGTAAATGCTCTTCTCATCTCATTTTATAGATGAGGAAACTGAGGCACAGACACTTGTCTAAAGTCACACACGTTGGAAGACACAGCTGAGATTCAGACCCTTACTGAATACAGGCACTTTTCTAAGTGCTTTATATGTATTAACTCTTTTTTAAGAAAGGAAGAGAGAAGGAGAGGGAGAGATAGAAACATCGGTGAGAGAGAATCATTGATTGGCTGCCTCCTGTATGCCCACTACGGGGGATTGAGCCCTGACCATGAATTTAATTGTGACCTCCTGGTTCATAGGTTGATGCTCAACCACTGAGCCATGCCGGCCGGGCTATGTGTTAACTCTGAATCCCTATAACAGCACTATAAGATTGGGATTATTATTATTTCCATTTTACAGATCAGGAAACTGAGGCCTAGAGTGGTGAAGTCACTTGCTTAGGTTGGCCAAGTCTGGTTGGAGCCAGAACTGAGGATTTTAACTCAATTCTGGCTGAGTTTAAAACCCAGTTATTTTTATTTATTTATTTTAATCCTCACCCAAGGAGTGAGGATATTTTTTCCATTGATTTTTAGAGAGAGTGGAAGGGGAGAGAGTGAGAGGAGAGAAAGAAACATCAATCTGAGATTGACACATGGATCGGTTGCCTCCTGTACATGCCTTGACCAGGGGTGGGGATCGAACCTGCAACCCAGGTACATGCCCTTGACCAGGAATGGAACCTGAGACCCTCCGGTGCCCAGGCCGACGCTCTCACCACTGAGCCATGTTAGCCAATGCTAAAACTGAGTTATTTTAACCCCTGCGGTGTGTGGATCCTCCCTAATTTACTTTCCTGCAGGTCTCCTGTCTCCACCTTTTTCTCATCCTTCCAGAATCTTCCTCCATGGCCCACCTCTGATCAACTTTTGAACTTTGTCTGCTCCAGTGCCTCTGAAGGCTCCCCAGGGCCTTCCTGATAGCGATCAGGAGTTCAGTACTGTGTTCAGAGCTTCCTGTCTCCAGGCTCCTTCCCATGTTCAGCTTCCCTTCTCCCCCCACCTCCTGCTGTAACAAAGCCGAAGTACACACTGTTCCTCGAACACCCTGCCGCCATCCTGCCTCCACTCATTGCTCAAGCTGTTCCTGCTGCGCAGAATACCCTTGCTTCCTTCTCTCTTCATTTTGAAATCCCATCTGACCGTAAAGTCCAGCTACTTTCTTCTTTTCCTCCCTCCTCCCTTTTCACATCCATTCCATCCTCCTGATCAGACAACAAACAGTCCCTGAGCCTCTACAATGTGTCAGGCCCTGTGTTGGCTTTGTGGGGGACACAGCAGTGATCAAGACACACCTCATGGAGCTCCCAGGGCCATGAAGGGGACAAACCCCTCCACCAGGCTGTGTCAGCTTAGAGTGGTCAGGGCTGGGATGGAGGAAGCCCAGAGGGTTGTGGGAGTCCAGAGGAGGTGACTGGCTAGACCTGGGGTATCAGAGAGGGCTTCCTGGAGGAGAGGGCATGTGAGCTGAGACCACCAGGAAACCATCTGAGTAAGTTCAGATTAGCCATCAGATCTAAGAAAAAAGAGAGAAGATACGGAACCTGCTTATGATTAAAAAAATAAAAATAAATGGTTGCAACCAACCTCCTTCAATCCAAGCAACATTTTTGGAGCGCCTGTTGTGTGCCAGGCCATGGGCTGGGACACAGTCATAATCACGACAACCCCAGTCCCTGCCCTCAGCTTGTTAGCAGGGTTGCAGACAGGCCTTTGGGGGATCTTGTAATTACTGGAGTAAGTGGGCTTGGCTCACCCCAAGCCCAGGTCAGAGGAGGGTCAGACCAGAGGTAGAAAGAACTGTGTGTTTTAGGCAAGTGACTACATCCCTCTGAGCCTTTGTTTCTTCCTCTGTAACAGAGTCAAGAATTCTCCTGGGGTTGTATGTTTAGGATTAAGTAGGTTATGGCACACTGGGTCTTTGTCATTATGCCTGGAATGTTCCAGGTGCTTAGTAAACAGGAACCTTTATTAATCACCTCCTCTCCACTCCTGTGAACTGGAGGGGGTAGGGGGTAGGGAATAGGTCTTCCGGAATCCTGCAGTCCAGCACCCTGACTCTGCTGACCTTCAATTAGATGTCTGATAGGGAGCTGGGCTCTGAGGGGTGGGAGAGAGCATGCCCTTGACCCTGGGATGGTGGGGGATAGGAGGGAAGAGCACACAGCCTCTGGAGATGATCCATTCTTCCAATACTTGCTAAGGGTCTGCTGTGGGCTTGGAGCAAGAATGCATTTGTGTGTGCGCGCGCGCAAGGGAATCAGACACACAGTCTCAAGAAGCGCTTAGTTGAGGCAACATGATACAACTATCTCCATGTTACAGATGAGGAAACTGGGCCCAGCGAGGGAAAGTAACTTGCCCAGGGTCACTCACAAATAAAGAGCAGAACTGTTTGCTTCTCTGGTTTTCTATTACTCTCTCTTTCTCTCTGTTCTCTGCTTCTGTCTTTTTCTTTCTCTGCCATTACTTTGTATCTGTCTCCCTTTCTGTGTCTTCTAGTAACTCAGTGTCCGTCTCTGTGTTATTCAGGATAGGTCAGGATTTGCTGTAGTAACAAACAACCCCAAACTTAGTGATTTGGAGAAACAAAGGATTATTTTTGTTCATCCTTCATGTTGACCATAGTCAGTGGTGGGTGAGGGGGCTGAGGAAGTCCCCGTTTTCTTTCCACTCTTTCTACAACAGGGAAAAGAACATAGAGAGTCACACAGTGGCTTTAAGGCTTCCACCCAAAAGTGACACTTCTGCTCATATTTCATTGGCCACAGCAAGTCAAAAACTCTAAGTTCAAGAGGGCAGGGACAAAAAAAAAAAAAGAGGGCAGGGACAGCACGTCCAGCGTGGCTCAGTGATTGAGTATCTACTTATGAACCAGGAGGTCACGGTTTGATTCTCAGCCAAGGCACATGCCCGGGTTGCGTGCGATCCCCAGTGTGGGGTGTGTAGGAGGCAGCCGATCAAGGATTCTCTCTCATCATTGATGTTTCTATCTCTCTCTTCCTCTCCCTTCCTCTCTGAACTCAATTAAAAAAAAATAAAAAAAGGAGGGCAGGGATGTGCCTGTGAGGGGAAGGGCTGAAGCTGTTGGTGAGCAGCTCGTGACTGCTGCAGTCTCTTTTTTTTTTAAATTAAATATATTTTATTGATTTTTTACAGAGAGGAAGGGAGAGAGATAGAGAGTTAGAAACATCAATGAGAGAGAAACATCGATCAGCTGCCTCCTGCACATCTCCCACTGGGGATGTGCCCGCAACCCAGGTACATGCCCTTGACCGGAATCAAACCTGGGACCTTTCAGTCCGCAGGCCGATGCTCTATCCACTGAGCCAAACCGGTTTCGGCATGCTGCAGTCTCTTTGTCCACGTCTCTCTGTCTCTGTCATCACTTTGTCATCTGTCTCAGTGTCTTCTCTCTGTGATGTGGCCTCCGTTCATCAAGCCCTGCCTCTGTCATTTTCCCTGTTAAAGTCTCACTTGGTTTTTGGACAGCGATGAGGCTTCCGAGTTTTTGATGTGTGTACGTATGTGGGGGGAGGCTTGGGGGTTGCTTGGTACTGCAACAAAGATAGGCCTATCTTTACTCTGGAGGACAGAGAGACGCAGATACAAAGGGAGTGATGACAGGAAGAAATGGAAAGAGACTCTTCCCCACCTTTGTGGAGGCCTTTGAGGGATATTGTGATTATTGGAGTAAGTGGGCTTGGCTCGCCCCAGCCATCTTGGGGGCATTGATCTCAGGAAGAACCTGGACCTTGGAAAGGTCCCAGGTCCACCTTCATTCCCTTCATGGAAATATCTGCATCCCCTTCCCCTCTCGGCCTCAGTCCTGACCCCACCCTGCTCTGCCCCACACAGAATAAATCCTGGAAGAAGCTGAAGACAGTTCTGAAGTATTCGCCCTTCGTGGTCTCCTTCCGAAAACACTACCCTTGGGTCCAGCTGTCCGGACATGCTGGTGAGAGCAGGGGGTGGTGGGGGGCAGGGGCCTGGCTAGGCTGGGCAGAGACGGCGCCTGACTGGGGACAGAAAGCTCCAGAGCTACTCTCTGTAGTTTAGTTTCCCCGTCTGTGAAATGGGCTTGGTGACAGCCCCCATCTCATGGGGTTGTTATTGGAAGTGCTTAGGCCTGGGCTGGGCGATCGATACATCAGAGCTAAGGGCTGTTCCCTGTTATCTCAATGTTGGCTGGTGTGTGTGTGTGTGTGTGTGTGTGTGTGTGTGTGTCCTTGACCCTGGGGACAAGTGGACCTCGACTTAAATCCTAGTTCTGCTCTTTATTTGTGAGTGACCGTGGGCAAGTTACTTTCCCTCGCTGGGCCCAGTTTCCTCATTTGTAACATGGAGATAATTGTCCCTCCCTTGCCGAGTTAACTGAAGGGTTAAAATAAAAATGTATGTTGAGACTGAAACACAGGCCCCTCATGTATGGAAATTATCATTCCCTGTTCTTGCCCCATGTCCAGAGCTTAGGAGGCCCTCAGTAAACACCAGCTATAATGGTTTCTTCCCAGGGCCTAGCACAATGCCTAGCATATGCCTAACATATAGCATTTTTGGTAAAGGTCTAGATAATAAGTAAACTACTCAACTTTATGGTGGCTGCATGAACGCAGCCATAGATAATACATAAACATGTGTGCCTGTGTTCCAATAAGACTTTATTTACAAAATTGGGTAGTGGGCTTGATTACACAAACCTTACCCAGCAGCAAAGAGAGACAGTAGGAGAACTCACCTGCCTTATTCATCTTATAGCTGAGTCAGAGAAAAGGCAAGGCCCCCCTAAAACTGTAAACACAGGCTTGCCATCAATATGTGTTCTAGTTACTATTACTGAGTTTAAAATAACTCAAAAACCCACAAAACTCAAAATTTAGTGGTAGTTAAAAACATTAGTGAAGTAAAAGTACCATATTATTACACTCATAGGTTTTGGGGTTGGGAATTCAGACAGGGCATGGCAGGGATGGCTTGTTGCTGCTCTATGATATCTGGGAACTCAGCTAGGACAACTTGAAGGCTGCAAGCTGGAAACTTTTGGAGGGTTACTCACTCACATGCCTGGCAATTGATATTGACTATTGGCTGGGTCTCGGTTGGGACTCCTGGCTGGAAAGCCTGGTTGTGGCTTCTTCATGTAGCTGCTTGGGCTTCCTCACAGTATGGTGGCCTTGAGAAGCAAAAGTTTTTTGTGTGTTTTTTTTTAAAAGTTCATTTTAATATATTTTTATTTATTTCAGAGAGGAAAGGTGAGGGAGAGAGACATAGAACATCAATGATGAGAGAGAATCATTGATCGGCTGCCTCCTACACACCCCCTACTGGGGATTGAGCCCACAACCCGGGCATATGTCCCTGACTGGAATCGAACCCGGGACCCTTCAGTCCACAGGCCAATGCTCTGTCCGCTGAGCCAAACCAGACAGGGCGAGAAGCAAAAGTTTTTACATGACAGCTCAGGACAGCAAAGTGTCTCTGCCAACAAAGTGGAAGTTGCATCTCCTTACATGACCTAGACCCGTGGTCGGCAAACCGGGGCTCGCGAGCCACATGCGGCTCTTTGGCCCTTTGAGTGTGGCTCTTCCACAAAATACCACGTGCGGGCGCGCACGTACAGTACAGTGCGATTGAAACTTCGTGGCCCATGCGCAGAAGTCGGTATTTTGTGGAAGAGCCGGTATTTTGTGGAAGAGCCACACTTAAGGGGCCAAAGAGCTGCATGTGGCTCGCGAGCCGCGGTTTGCCGAGCCTCAGTTTGCCGACCACTGACCTAGACTATGAGGTCACACAGTGCTGCTTCTGCCATTAAGCCCGCCAAGATTCAAGGGGAGAAGAATGAGATTCCACTTCTTGCTGGAGATTGGCAAAATTCTAGAAGGGTATGTGGGACAGGAACTATTATTGTACCATCTTTGGAAAATATAACCTGAAAGTACAATCTGCCTCAGTAAGAATTGTAATTCTAATCTATACTAAGTATCTGCATGGTCCAAGAAATGCTAGATTTGTAAATTAACTTAAATAGGCCCCAGTTGTTGGCACTCTGGGACTCCAGGCAGAAGCAAATGCATATCTGCTCTGGAGAGTCAGGTTCTGGACTCAGATCTCACAAAAATTCCCACAGCTTATTGTGAGCATATAGTCCCAAATTACAAAACAAATGAGGACACAATCTGCTGTGAAGAGGACTTTGTCTAAACAAAGAGCAGAAATAGGCTCTTTCCTGGCGACCCCTGGCCACGATTTTGAGAATTGCAGGGAAGGAGAGAAAGTGCTGCAGAACTGCCGGGCAAAATGACAGTGTCCAGGATCTGATACATGCAGGAGATGGGGGATTCTCTTGCTGATACAGTTTCTGACTCTCATTGACTGTGCCTCTCCTAGGGAACTTCCAGGCGGGAGAGGATGGTCGGATTCTAAAGCGTTTCTGTCAGTGTGAGCAGCGTAGCCTGGAGCAGCTGATGAACGACCCCCTGCGGCCTTTTGTGCCAACCTACTATGGTGTGGTGCAAAGGGATGACCAGGCCTTCAACCAGATGGAAGATCTCTTGGCGGACTTCGAGGGCCCCTCCATCATGGACTGCAAGATGGGCAGCAGGTGGGGTCAGGGACAGCCCTGAGGCAGAGGTGGAGGGTCAGGGGTGGGCATTTTTCCCCCCATTGATTTTTAGAGAGTGGAATGGAGAGAGAGAGAGACAGACAGAAAGAAGAAATGGAAGAAACATTGATTGGTTGCCTCCCGCAGTGTCCTGAACGGGACCTGGGATCACTGAACCTGCAACCTAGGTACATGCCCTTGACTGGGAATCGAACCCAAGACCATTTGGTGTGTGGGCTGATGCTCCAACCACTGAGCCACACCAGTCAGGGCAGGGGTGGGCATTTTTTAAGTTAGTGCCAAGTTAGCCTTTAAAGTGGTTGTACCACCAGCAGTGTGTGAGAGTTCCATTTATTCCATCTTCTCACCAACACTTTATGGTTTTCTTTCTTTTTTTTTTTTTTTAAATATATTTTTATTGATTTTTTACAGAGAGGAAGGGAGAGGGATAGAGAGTTAGAAACATCGATGAGAGAGAAACATCGACCAGCTGCCTCCTGCACACCTCCCACTGGGGATGTGCCTGCAACCAAAGTATATGCCCTTGACCGGAATCGAACCTGGGACCTTTCAGTCCGCAGGCCGATGCTCTATCCACCAAGCCAAACCGGTTTTGGCGGTGGTTTTATTTCTATTTGTTTGATGACCAAAGAAGATTGTTGATTGGCCATTTGAAAGGTGCCTGTTTGAATACTTTGCACATTTTTCTGTTGGGCTATCATTTTCTTTTTGACTTGTAATTCTTTTTCTTTTTCTTTTTTATTTGTAATTCTCTTTTTTTAAAAGATATATTTTATTGATTTTTTACAGAGAGGAAGGGAGAGGGATGGAGAGTTAGGAATATCGGTGAGAAAGAAACATCGATCAGCTGCCTCCTGCACACCCCCTACTGGAGATGTGCCCGCAACCAAGGTACATGCCCTTGACCGGAATTGAACCTGGGACCCTTCAGTCCGAAGGCTGACGCTCTATCCACTGAGCCAAACTGGTTAGGGCTATTTGTAATTCTTTATATGTTCTGGATACAAGTCCTTTGTTGGAAATATACACACACCTACCCACACATTCTCCAACCTCCCATTTCACTCTCTTAGTACTGTCTTTTGATAAAGAGAATACTTTTAATTTAGTCCAGTTTGTCAACTTTTTTCATTATGGTTAGTAGCTTTGTGTTGGTGTTGTTTTTCTAATATATTTTTATTGATTTTTATAAAGAGGAAGGGAGAGGGAGAGAGAAAGAAACATCGATGATCGAAACATTGATGATGGCTGCCTCCTGCATGCCCCCTACTGGAGATCCAGTCCACAACCTGGGCATGTGTCCTGACCAAGAATCAAACCAGCAACCTTTTGGTGCATGGTAGAATGACCAACCAACTGAGCCACACTTGGGAGCGCTTTGTGTTTCAGAAATGCCTACTTTGTCACATCCTCTGTGTCCCAGGACCTACCTGGAGGAGGAGCTGGTGAAGGCTCGAGAACGGCCCCGGCCCCGCAAGGACATGTATGAGAAGATGGTGGCTGTGGACCCCAGGGCCCCCACCCCTGAGGAGCATGCCCAGGGTGCCATCACCAAGCCCCGCTATATGCAGTGGAGGGAGACTGTGAGCTCAACCTCCACCCTGGGCTTCCGCATTGAGGGCATCAAGGTGAGGTCCAGGAGTTGCTAGCCTGTCGCTAGAGGACTATATCTAGGCAGGGCTTCTCAGGGAACATGGGTGTCAGGGAAAACTGGAAAGAAGCGAGATCTGGAAAAAGAGTAGGAGACTGCAGAAGATGAAAAGATGGGGCTAGGAGAGGTCCTGCTTCTCTCACCCCCACATCCATCAGTGACCAAGTTTTGTTTATCCCTCTGCCTGAGCATCTCGATTCCATCTTCTTTCCTCCCCATCGCCCTGTCCTAATCTGGCCCTGTCTTCTGCCTCAGCCTCCTCTGATCCATCATCCAACACAGCAGCTGGAGCGATCCTTTTTCCCCCTTATGGAGAAAGATTTTTCTCTTTTCTTCCTTCCTTCCTTTTTTTCTTTTTGTAAATTAAATCTAATTTTTTAAATAAGTAGTCACACCATTCAAAAGTCAAAATTATGTTATAAAAGGGTGTGCAGAGGAAATCTCTCTGCTGACCCTGTGGCTGTCCTTCCCATTCTGTCCCTCCACCTCCCACCCACTCACAGGGAATCACTTTATAAGTTTCTTATTTTTCTTCCTGCAAATGCAGACAAATGCAATTGCATATCCTAAAAATTCCACCCTTCTTTACACAAAAGGTGGCATAGTCCTAGATAATTCCCATATCATTCCATAGAGAGTTTCCTCTGTCTTTTCTTTCTTTCTTGAACTGTAATAGCTTTTTGTGGATGTGCCATAGTTCCCTATAGATGGCCACCTGGGTTGCTTCCATTTTTTGCCATTACAAACAACGCCTCAATGGATCACTTTGAACGTAATACATTTTGCAAGCATGAAGATTTAGCTGTAGACTAGATTCCCAGAAGCAGGACCACTGGGTCAATGATGAAATGCATTGGGAATGTTGCTAGAGATTGCCGAACCCCTTCCATAGGTGTTGAATCATTGTGCATTCCACCAGCAATTTTTGAGAGTGCCTGTCTCCCCATGGCCTCCCCGGATAGATCCGGGTGTGTCATTTTCCTATTCGAAACCTTTCAATGGCTCCCTAGAACCCTCCATCGTCTAGCCTCATTTCTCATCCCTCTCTTCCTCCTTGTTTACCTTCAGGCCACAGTGAAGCTTCATTTCCTTGAAAGGGTCCTGCTCCCCTGCCACAGAGCCTCTGCACATGCTGTTCCCTCTGACAGGGCTGTTCTTCCCTCTACTGTTCCCCCCAGTTGGCTTCCAGTCATTTTTATGTCTTTTTACTTCCTCCTTACCTCCTCATAACTCCCTGTACTCCTTCATTATTCTTATCTCCCTTTGTGATGCTCTTATTCAATATCTGTCTCCCTCATCTGACTGTGTCTGTCCTGTTACCTCCATGTTAGCAGTGCCCACCTGGTACCTGGCACGGCATGACAGTACGACTCAAGTGGTCCTCTCAGAGATAAAAAATAACATTAGTCTCATTTATTTATTTTATTTTATTTTTTAAAATATATTTTATTGATTTTTTTACAGAGAGGAAGGGAGAGGGATAGAGTTAGAAACATCAATGAGAGAGAAACATCGATCAGCTGCCTCCTGCACACCTCCCACTGGGGATGTGCCTGCAACCAAGGTACATGCCCTTGACCGGAATCGAACCTGGGACCTTTCAGTCCTCAGGCTGACGCTCTGTCCACTGAGCCAAACCGATTAGGGCAGTCTCATTTATTGAGTGCTTGCTTACTATGTGCCAGGCACTGTGCTATGCATCCTACACACCCAATCTCCTCTATTCCTACCATTTTTTTAGCACAATTCCAATTTCCTAGATGAGGAAACTGAGGTTGACAGGTAAAGTGACTTGCTTAAAGCCACCCAGCTAGGAAGTAGTAGAGTCACAATTCAAAGCCAGATTTACCCTCCTCCAGAGCACATCTGGCTAGACTGTTTCAACTAGGGGGTTCAGGTTAGACTTGGAAGGACTAGCTGCTCAGGAGTGTGACTTGGGGCTGGGTTGATCTGACCTGGGCAGGTGGGCTGGCTTCTGCTGAACAGCAGATGAATGTGGAGGCAGGCAGGTGGCCCCAGGAAGTGCCTGGGGCTGGTTGGTGTTGGGCATGGGAAGGCAAGTTATGACACTGGGCCTTCAATCTTTGTCCTGCAGAAAGCCGATGGGACCTGCAACACCAACTTCAAGAAGACACAGGAGCTGGAGCAAGTGACAAAGGTGTTGGAGGACTTTGTGGATGGGAACCATGGAATCCTGGTGAGTGGGATACCCATGCCCCAAACTTAGCAGTTCAGGGCCACCACCATCATTGTTGCCCCTGTGTTTTGCTTAGGGCTGAGGTTGGCTGGTACTGGCTGGTGTTGCTCATCCTCTGGGTCAGCGGGTGGCTTGGCCAGAGCTGGATTTCTAGGATTGCCTGCTCCTGTATCTGGTAGCCTCAGATGATGACTCCTCCCCTTGTCTCTAATGATCCAACAGGCTAGTCTGGGCTGTTCTCACAGTGGAAGCTGGTGGCCAAGAGAACAAACGAAAATGCAAGGCCTCTTGATGGCTAAGACACCCTCATTTCTGCCATGTTCTATTGGCCAGAGCAAGTCATGACCAAGCCTAGATTAGAGAGTAACAGACTCCACCTCTTTATGGGAGGAGCTGCTGGGAGTTATGGGTATTCATGTAATCTACTAACCTTACCCTGTCTGTGCCACCCCTATATTTCCAACCTCCTCTCCCATTTTCCCCAGGGCTCCCCTTTTTCCATCCTGGCCGGGTATGGGACAAGGTCAGATCTCAAGGTGGGTAAGGACCCCCAAAGTCCCTGTGCTAATCAAGAAACTCTCCCTCTCAAACAGAGAAAGTACGTGGCACGCCTAGAAGAACTCCGAGAAGCTCTGGAGAACTCCCCCTTTTTCAAGACCCATGAGGTGTGAGCCCCGGCCCCCAGAGGAGCAGAGTGTATATGTGTGAGGTGGGGGTGGGTTGAGGAGAAATCACTGGCAGAATTAAGCTAAAGCAATTTAAAAGGAGACCTATGTTTTGGGGTTTGCCTTTTCAGAGTAGGCAGCACAGGGGGTTTCAGGGGGTGGGACAGCTAGGAGCATGGCTGGAGCCAGGCGGCCTGGGATGAGGTTGGCTCTGCTGTGTGACCTCTCAGGCCACAGTTGCCTCCTAAGATAGGGAGGAACAATATCTTCCTTACTGGGCTGCTTCCTTACGGGTGTGAGACTAGCAACTGTTGAACACCATTTGGAGCATAAAAGCACATTTAACCCCTAGCTCTTACAATTACTTTATAATCATAATTATTTACAATTATTGTTACCTGCATTCTTTGTTCAGTGCCCCCCCCCCTTCCCCTCTCCCTCCCTTCCAAAGCCTGTCTCTTTGGAAGCGTTCATCTCTTTGGGGTTGTCTCAGAAAGTCTGGGAAGTGGTGACATCCTCTCCTCCCTTCTGTCCAAGCTCTTCCCTCCCCACGCCCAAGCCCTCTCACCTTCTCCTGGCTATCACTAACTTCTGGGAGAGCCCTGATCTTGGAATCAGGCTGGCCTCGGTTTGGACCCCAGTTCTGCAGGTCTGTCTACTGACCTGCAGGATGGGATAACAGAGTGCCTGCCTCCTACGCAACATGAAGGTTAAGTGGATTAATACAGGGAAAGTGCAGCCCATAGTAAACCTTCAGTATGTGCCAGCTGTTACTGTCACGTCTCTTATCAAACAATACCCTCATTGTCATTGTCACTGCCTTTGGGCTTTACACACAAGTCGAAAAGAGGAGGCCTGGGGAGCCCATCTCATCTGTCCTGGTGTTTGGTTTTACCCACTTGGTGACTTAACTTTTTTAAAAAATATATTTTTATTGATTTCGGAGAGGAAGGGAGAGGGAGAGAGATAAACATCAATGATGAGAATCATTGATCAGCTGCCTCCTGCACGCTCCCTACTGGGTATCTAGCATGCAACCCGGGCATGTGCCCTTGACCAGAATCAAACCCTACACCCTTCAGTCCCCAGGCCAATGCTCTATCCACTGAGCCAAACCAGCTAGGGCATGACTTTACATTTTAAAAGATGAGTTGGCAACATTTAAAACATGGGCCTTCCCACCAAAATCAGGGTTTCCAGTTTCCCTTGGCACACTGGGAGATGTGGCAACACTGGGCCGCTCGCCACATGCCAACAGCCGTCCAGAGCAGGGCAGCATCTGCTTCTCCTCACAGGTGCCCACTCACCTGCCCCATCATCTAGGTTCCCTGGGGAGAGTGCAGTTTGCAATCGGTTAGGAAAAGGGAAGGGTGTGCAAATGTGGAGTTAGATGAAGGCAAGAAAACTGCTATTTCTCATTAGAAAAACAAAACCAGCATCTCTGAAGGCTGCATCCCAACCTCACAGGCACTTGATAAGTGTGTAGATCAGTGGTCGGCAAACTCATTAGTCAACAGAGCCAAATATCAACAGTACAACGATTGAAATTTCTTTTGAGAGCCAAATTTTTTAAACTTAAACTATATAGGTAGGTACATTGTTATTAACTTAATTAGGGTACTCCTAAGCTGGCCTTTGCTAAAAACGTCCTCAGTCTGATTGAGGTACGTTCGCTGAGGTCGACCCTTTCCAACTCTCCCATCCACACTCGTCTTGTATACTTGTTTCGTCCATCTCCTTTCCGAAAACCGACTTCTGCACATGGGCCACGAAGTTTCAGTCGCACTGTATGTGTGCACCCGCACGTGCTATTTTGTGGAAGAGCCACACTCAAGGGGCCAAAGAGCCGTGTGTGGTTCGCGAGCCGCGGTTTGCCGACCACTGGTGTAGATCATAGAATGCTGCCAGTGATCCCAGGAGGTAGGGCTGTGACCACCACCCCCATTCTATAGATGAGGAAACTGAGGCCTGGAGAAAGGAAGCCACTTGCCTGGGGTTATCAGCAGCCATTAGAAAGTGGAAAGCATGATCTACTTTCTTAGTCCCCACTGGGCTCTCCTGATCCATTCAGGATCCTGCAGGCATTTGAGTTTATGCCTCAGCTTGAAAAACGATACCAGTTAACATCTGTTGTGCATTTGCTATACTGGCAAGTGTTCTAAGTGCTTTATATGATTAATTCATACATGTAATATGCACAGCAACCTTACAGGTAAATAGTACTATTATTCCATTATTCCCACTTTGTGTATCAGGAGGTAGAGGCAGAGAGGTTAAGCCACCTATAACAGCCTATAAGTAGCAGAGTCAGGATTTGAACTCAGCCACCCTGCTCAGATGCCCCTTGGGGAGGAGACCCTGGCCAATGCTTGCTTTGCCCCTAACCTCCTGTTTGCCTCCCTGCAGGTGGTGGGCAGCTCCCTTCTCTTTGTGCATGACCACACTGGCCTGGCCAAGGTTTGGATGATCGACTTTGGCAAGACAGTGGCTCTGCCTGACCATCAGACACTCAACCACCGGCTGCCCTGGGCTGAGGGTAATCGTGAGGACGGCTACCTCTGGGGCCTGGACAACATGATTCGCCTTCTTCGGGGGCTGGCCCAGAGCTGACCCGCTTGCCTTCTGCGAGGATTCTTTATTGGATGGTACTCAGCTGGCTGGAGGAGCCCTGAGGTGTGCAGGGGCCTGAGTTCAGCCACGGAGGCACTGACCTCTGGGACAGGAGAGGTTGTGGCACACCACTCAAGCCCAGTGTGGAAGATCTGAAGGGCCTTGGAGACCAAGTAGCACCCAGTCTTTTCATGATCCAGGGGTTGTAAGGACTGGAGAGGGGACAGGACGTGGCTGGGTCCCACTATGGGTCAGAACCAGACTGGGTCCTCTGGCCAGCCGGGAAGGTTCCAGAGGGGCTGCTGGAGGCCACAACTAAACCATACATCCTGAAAGAACACCATTCAGATGCTGTAGGCTACAGGCCTGACACATGCCTATCACCACAGGAATGACTGTGATCACTACTCCTTGTCAGCCCCCTCCGGCTATGCGCTGGCTCTGATGCCAGGGACCAATCAGCTTCATCTGTGGTGCCCCAGAACCAGACTTTATTTGTGAGCAAATGCAGGAGCTGCTGTCTGCCTGGGAGCATTATGGCCCCATCTCTTCTTCTGGGGGCCCTTCAGGTGCTGACAGAAGCTCTGAGAAGGGTGTGACACCATGGGACCGGCCTGAGAGCTGACGCTGCTGAGCAGAGCCCAGTTCACCCTGTCCTGCCCTCCCATGGCCCCATGGGATCCTCCCTGCTCCTGGGAGAGCTCTGCTGACCCCCTGCAGACCAAAACCACGGCCACATCCTGTGCCAGCCTGTGACCAGCACAACCTCATTCCTCTGGCACCATCTCAGCTTTGGGACTTCCTCCCCTTACCCTGTGAGGTCTCCTTCCTCCCAGCTGACGGAGGTGGCAGGGGCAGGGAAGCTGGCTCAGAACCAGAGCTACCTTCCTTTGGTGGCCTGCACCCCGCGGCCCTTGCGTGAGAAGTGCCCTGCTTGAGTCAGAGGCTCAGGGTGGGTGGGGCTGCTGGCTGTGACCCCAGGCTCCCAACCTGGTCCAAACCAAAGCCCCTCTTTCTTCCCCTCCTCCTGTACTTGTAACTGGCTTCCTGGCCCACAGGGCTGGGCTGGGGAGGACAGGCAGCTCCCTCTTTCTGAGTCAAAACTCTAATGTAGTCTTCCAGGGCTCAGGAGGCATGTTCCTTTTCTATGGACCTTTATACTTATTTATACAAAAGAGACAGGTAGTTGTTAGACGGGGCAGTGCTGGGGAACTGGAGGCAACATCGCTTCACTGCCTTCCCCCCGACGACCCCCTAATAAAGAGGACATTCAAAGCCAACTTTGTGGGATTTTTTTTTTTTTTAATCTGGTGAGTGTGGGCTCAAAGCTCAGGACAGTGATTGGTTTGGGGTAGATGCAGGCTTGGAGGTTCCTGAGCTGCTCCTCTTGTGCCTCACTCTGCTGGATAAGGCAGAATACCTGTGGTGACCAAGACAGTGCCGAGCCCTCCCAGGACAGTTTACCAGACAGAGTGCCAGTCCCTGCTGTGAGGGCTGCGAAGGGGAAGTGCAGGTGGAGGGATTAGGGCTGGGATGGAGGATTCCCCACTTCTGGTTTGAAACACTACACTACAGAAACAAAAAGCACTATACTTATACTATATAGTCTCTCTAAAGTCCCTTTGTACTGAAGACAGCAGTGATCAACACAGATCTGTTCCTCCCCTTTCGGAGGGGAGGCAACAGGTATTCATGAAACTAATCTCTCTCTAAAAATATGTATCTACTTATCTATTTATATCTGCGTAAGTACTAACTGCCTGATTTGAATCCTGACCCTGTCATTTGCCAAGCTATGTGACCTTAAGCCAGTGACTGCACTCCTCCCAGCCTTAGTCTCTCCATCTGTAAAATGGGGAGGACCTAGTACCTTCCTTATAGGACTGGAGGATTTAATGAGTTAACACTGGTAAAGGGTTTGGCACATTTAACTGCTCTTAGAAACATTTCTTCTTTGTTTTTGAAGGAGAACAGAGGTGGGGAGGGGCTTAGCCCTGACTGAGGGAACCTTCCTTGAGGAAGTGATAATGAGCCAAGATGGTGTAGGGGTTCAGACCAAGTCACCCCAAGATATGCCTCTGTGGTATGTGGGTTGTGAGCTAGGGCAACCAAGACACCACAAGCTCAATGAAACCTCTGCCCCACCCACCCTTAACTACCTAGAAGAATTTGAATTCAAGGTCTTGCCCATAAAGACTGAGATAACCTTTTCTGACCTATCTATAGGGCAGGGTAAACTTCTAATTGCTGAACATCTGCTCTTATCATCCTGCAATGACCTTCCTCCCTCTGAAGCCCCATGATTATCCTTAGCTCAGAATGACAGATTATATATATATATATATATATATATATATATATATATATATATATATATATATAATTTTCCCTGTCTTGTGTTAAGGTAAAAACATTCAAACCTGTAAAGAATTTGTGTGAGTTTATTTGAGCCAACCTGTAGACAATTGCTGGGAAGCAGAATTTCAACGGATTGGGATAATGCTCCAGGGAATAGTGGTTTTTCATCTATTTTTATGCATTGCAGTCAAAGGAGGGGACGTAGGTGGGTTACATGAAATCTATTGGTGATAGATTAGAGAGGCGGGAGAAAGCAAAGCAGGGAAACCTCTGGGATTGGATAAAAAGTAAAATGATAGACACCTACTTAGGTGGGTGCAGGATAGTTAACAGTCAACATGATAACAATAACAATGAAGAAATGTATGGTCTCCTGTCCTGGCACCCAGGGCATTTGATTGTGGCCTGAGGGGTCCAGAAAAAAGGGAAGTTACAAGTTACCCTGACATTTCAAGGATATGTTATCATAGATGCAAAAAGACAGATAGGCTGTTAAAGTAAAAGTTGACCTTGTCAGTGAAGATACCTGCCTAGGACATAGCTACCCACCATAATTGCTCTTAGTTAAAGTTTAATTTCAGGCCATCCTTGTGGTTACTTTAGGTCTCTGAGTTTGCAAGACCGCCATGCAGGCCTTCCTAGAGTTTGTCAGGTTAGCATGTGGCCCCTTTTGTTCACACTTGGTATATCTCATGTATGTGGGATTGCCATGTGTATGTATTAAATTTGGTTACTTTCTGTTAACCTGTCTCATGTAACCTCATTAGAAGAGATGAAGGAACCTTGAGGGGAAAGTATCTTCCTCTCCCACACTGGAAAGTTGAGTTCCGGTAGAGGGCTGCAGTGGGGTTGCACCAGGGACCTGAGAGGTCAGTGTGGCTGGTGGCAGGAAGTGTGAGGAAGAACAGCCTGGGATAAGGAGAGGTGAGCTGGGGCTGGGGCTGGGAGTTTAATTCCTATTCTGTGAGGAACAAGAAGCTGCTAGAAGTTTCTCTGGAGGAGAACTAGTTTGCTTTTGGGGGGCTCCCTCAGCCCTGACCCCACGTGAAGATTCTGGGTGGCAGCAGGGAGCCCAGTGAAGCTCTTGCAGCTGTCCAGAGAGATGTCGATGGTTCAAAAGAGGGTGACCACCAATGTGAAACGAATGGATGCAACAATCAGGTGGGGTGGACAGGACACAGGTTCTGAGCTGTTGTCAGTCTCTCCCCTGGAAGAGGGAACTTGTCTGTCCTGCTTCTGGCTCTAACCCCAGCCCACACAGTAGGTGCTCAATACTGAGGGGATGGGCTTGGGGATGGAGGAGCTGGGAGGATGCCCAGGCTTAAGAATGGAATGGGGGGGAGGGACCTGAAAAAAGGACCTCTGGCTGAAGGTCCTGAAGAGATGCTGCCCAAACCCTGGGGTGGTTACACAAAGGGAAAAGCTGGGGTCTGGGCCCTATCACCCCCAGTTTAGGGCAGCAGCAGGCTAGGGGCTGGAGTCCTATGGTCTGAGGAGCAGGGCCTGGCCACAGAGGCCAGCTCGTACCCCACCAGCAGGAACCACATACACCCGGCCATCAGCGGCCCGAGAGGGTGAGAAGTCCGTCAGCTGTAGGTTGCTATCCTGGACTTGGTCATAGTCCCACAGCTGGTAGTGCCAACTCTTGCCCTGCTTGGAAAGAAGGTAGACTGCTCCCAGCGAGCCTTCCTCTGGCAGGGATGGTAGTTGGTGGGGCACGCTGGGCACTGGGTGAAACAGGCCTGGCAGCTCAGGGTCTTCAGCATAGCCGGGGCTTGGCACACCCTGAACACCCAATAGGACCCCTGCAAGGAGAGGGGGAGGCTGTCAGGGGGGGCTGAACCTTGATGAGCTGGGGCTCACTGTGTTTTCCTCCACAGCCTTCCAGGGAAGGTGCTGCCTAGTCCCCAACACTACAGAGAAGTCAGTGGGGGCCATCGGGCACACAGTTGGGCTGGGACTTGGAGCCAGTGTGTCTGGCTCCAGAGCTTCAGGCATTTTAAGTCCTGCCTCCTACAGCCTGTCAGCACTAGGAGGTGGAGAGGAGACATTAAACAGAGCAAACATCGTCACCCAGTCGTCTCCAGCTGTCCAGGGAGTGGAGCTCTCAGGCCAGAGCCAGGAGGGGGCTGAGCAGAGACTTGATCCAGGCCACCTGATGGACACAAATCCATCCTTTTTTCCAGGCAGGTGGAATGAGGACAATGCTAGTCACAGCTAATGCCTACTGAGATGTGCAGCGCAGCGTGCCAGGCACCACCGTTCTAAGGGTTTCCCATGCTCTGCCAACGAGGCAGCCCTATGAGGTGGGTACTTCTGTTACTTCAATTTCTAGATTGGCACATGGAAGCCCAGAGTCAGAGCTGGAAGTGGCAGGACTGGGCCTGGGGTCCAGAATGTTTGATCCAAAAGTCTGCACACTGAGCTTGTTTTTAGAAACCCCAGTTGGCAGACACCGAGGTACCTGCTGCCTGCCAGGTCCTGCCTTGAAGAGTACTGGGGAGGTGCCAGTGCCAGGGTGAGAATGTGAGGGGGGTGATGGGGGAGCTGGGGAGATCCAGGGTGAGCACAGGGACACAGGAGAGGGGACCCACCTGTGCTCACTGCCCAGTGGGCCTTGTAGCCCTTCCTCCGACATGGTTCATGGTTGAAGTCTTCATCGTAGCTGATGCTGGGGTTAAGGCCAAAGCTGTGATGTGGCCCCAGGGCCCACACTTCTCCACCCCGCCCTGTTCCCTTCCTGTCCTGGGATACGGGATGAGCAAGGGATGTCCAGAGACAAGGTGCTGCAGCACACGGCCTCTGTTGGGACCACCCAGGCCCCCACGGAGAAGCTCAACTTGGCAGCCCAGTGCCTCCTCAGCCAGCCTGCCCATGTTGGCCACTGCAAGGACAGAGCACACACAGAACAAGGGATCACTGTGTGCTTCTCACCATGTCAAGGGTTCCCTGGGGATCGATGCCTCTAATCCTTACTGTGACCATGAAAAGCATAGAGAGGGTAAGGGTCCAGGGCCACATAGTAGGAAGTGGCAGAGTTGGGCTGGGAACCCAGACAGCCTTGCTCCAGAGCAGGGGTCCTCAAACTATTTAAACAGGGGGCCAGTTCACTGTCCCTCAGACCGTTGGAGGGCCGGACTATAGTTTAAAAAAAAACTATGAACAAATTCCTATGCACACTGCACATATCTTATTTTGAAGTAAAAAAACAAAACGGGAACAAATACAATATTTGTATTTGCATGTGGCCCGCGGGCCGTAGTTTGAGGACCCCTGCTCCAGAGTCTACCTTGTAACACTGGGTGGGGGGAAGGGCCTGAAGAATGGAAGAAGGTCCTCCCACACACCTGGCAGTGTCTCACCCAGCCTCTCCAGTCCGTTCCTGGTGACGAAGGCCAGACTTGTGACCCTTCTGCACCCAACTCACCAGAGAACATCTCTCCCTGGGCCGTGTAGCCTCTCTCCACGGCCATCTGCAGGAGTCTCTCCAAGGGAATGCCGCTGGGCGGTACCAAGACAGTGCCTGCCATCCACAGGGCCACCAGCCCACACCTAGAAGAGACAGACCCAGCCCCTCAATCCCTAAGTCAGGTCTTTACTGGCCCCCCTCTGCCCTGGAAGCTGGAGTGTGGGGAACAGGATGGCTGCCTGGGGGAGTTCCCCTCCCCTCTCCAAGGCCAGGTAGGGAGACCTGATACTCTTTCATGGCAGAGAGGCTGAGCAAGTACTGAAGATGAGGGGAAGGGAGGGTGGGGGGAGATGTCACCTGGGTTTCCAGGATGAGTAGCTGCCAAAGAAGAGTTAGAAATAATGGACCAGGTGCATTTATTCACTCACTTGTTCACTGGTTCCAACTCTGTTTACTGTGCCTGTGCCCAGGACCCTGCCCTGGAAAGCTCCCCATCTCCTTCCCCTCCCCTCATCCTCCCCGGGCTGCCGAGATGAAATGAACCCACTCTTCCCACCCACCCGGGTCAATCCTCGTTAAGCGCAGCAAGGGCAGAGGCTTGGGACACACGGCTGGCAAGGGGTTGAGGTTCCAGATCAAGGTACATACTGAGGGCCTTCTTGGATGAGGGAGGGCAGGTCTGCACAGAAGAGGATCCACTGCAAGTCACTTCTGAAACTGAATCAGAGCAAGCGCAGGTCACCCAGGAGCCAGCTCCTAGAGTCCCCTGAGGTCTGGCTGCAGGAAGTGAAGGGGAGGAACAGAGGCCCAGCAGTCCCGAGGCCCGAGCACGGCCCCTGGCTACTCCTGGCTCGGTCACTGACAGGGCACTTTCCCTGTCCAGCCTGTTTCTTCATCTGCTCAGTGGGAATGACCCTCCCAACCACTGCTCCTGTTCCTTCTCTTAGTTACTGAAGGGCAAAGAGCAGATGTGCACACGGTTTGCAACTAGGAGCCAGTGATTTATTAGAGAAAATTTCTTGAGGAGTGTCTCTATACCCAAACTCGGTGACTTTTCCCTCCTCAAACCTGTTTCTCAGGCTGTTAAATAAGGTAAGAATTCCTTAAATCAGTTAGCCTGGACTAAAACCAGGTCCCATGCTCCAGGCCTAGAGATCACCTTGATAAGGAGCCCTTGCAGGTCTACCAGCCCCACCCTCCGGGAGTCAGAGTGGTGGTGATGCCAATCAATTCTTCCCCCTCCACAGGAGGGCGGGAGATGCAGTGCTTAATTGCTATTTTAAGGCCAGCGAAAGGGCAAGGCTGGGTGGTGGGAGTGCCCTCTTGATGGCCGGTGACACAGCGCCAACTGGGCTCTTCCTCTGCTGGGCACTGTGGCTGACCTCACTGCTATGAGCATCAGTTGCTCCATCTGGAAAATGGGATAATAGTTCCTACCTCCTGGACTTGCTGGGAGGATTAAATAAGTATTTAAAAACACCATGCTGGACATTTGCTAGGCACGTAATGACGGGTGTTTTCATCTGCATTAAACTTGTCTCACTATGGTTGGGGCATTTAGGGCAGATTGTCAACTTGCCTAGAACGCTGGAACCTTAATGAATCTGGACCCGTCGCTTCTCCCTCTTCCCTCAGCCGGGCCGCCGTTAAGTGAGGTCCCCGCCGCCAGCCCTCCCCTCCCGCTCGGGTCCCGGTGTCCCGC